TGGGACCTTAACAAGGTCCTTGTCATTCTCACTAAGGGGCCCTTCGAACCCCGGAGGAAGTCAAGTCTCCAATTCCTGACATACAAAGTAGTTTTCCTTGTAGCGAATCACCTCCGCTCGTCGTATCTCGGAAATGGCAGCCTTGTCTGTCAGACAAGATCTCTGTGTGTTCCATGCCGATCGAGTGGTCCTTCGTTCCGATCCCACATTTATGCCCAAGGTCAATTCAGCTTTCCATAGGGCACAAGAGCTCATTCTCCCAAATTTTTGCCCCAGACCATCACAGGCGTTGGAGAGAAAATGCCATAAGCTTGATGTAGGACGCACACTGCAAATTTATATCAAGCGTACAGAGACCTTCAGGAAATCTAAGGCCTTATTTGTGTCCTTTCAGCCCAATACCCAGGGTCACAAGGTATCACCATCTACGATAGGCCGTTGGATACAGGTGGCAATAGTTAAATCATATCAGTCTCAATCTCTGCAGGTGCCAAAGGGCATAACAGCTTATTCAACTAGGAGCGCAGCAACTTCGGCAGCTTGGGCCACACAGGCACCAATATCTGAAAGCTGCCGGGCGGCAACTTGGGCTTCCCCATTGCCCTTCATTAGACATTATAAAATTGATGTGTTTGCCTCTGCAGAGGCCTCCTTCGGCAGAAGAGTTCTGCAACAGGTCCACAGGGACCAGGAGGAGATTCCAGACCAGACGGAGTCCCTCCCATAGGACAGGCCAAGCTTTGGTATGTCCCACTACTGGATGCTCGGAGCAGCTCATAGGAGAAGGGGCGTTGGTACTTACCTGACGTGCCCGTTCTCTTTGAGCTGCGAAGAGCATCCAGCCCCACCCCTTTTCCGTCTGGTGGGGTCCTGTTTCGGCCAACGAACTTTTTTTAGGTCTTGAGGATGAGAGCACTTATTTCTCTTGTCTTCGCAAAAACGGGAACGCATGGAGGAGTCATGTGGAGAAGGAGGAGCGTTCTTCAATTAAAACTCAGCCTATGGATGCAGAGACTGAAGCACCTCCCAGTACTGGATGCTCTTCGCAGCTCAAAGAGAACGGGAGTATCAGGTAAGTACCAATGCCCCTTCCCAGCTGCAGCTAATGAAGGGAATCAGGGCCCTTTCCTCCCCCTGTAAGCCACACAACTCATGTTGCTCCCTTCTCTGTTCCTTCTTGCATGCACTAGGATGAAGGGGGGGCTAGATCTTCCTCTGAATTCATTCTCTCTTGCTCTACCTCTCCCCTGCTCTGTCCAGCCTGGACTGTGCCCCTCCCCAATTTCTTCCACAGCCAATGGAGCCACACTCCCACTCCCTTTCATCTGCTTGGTCTCCCCCTTGGAATCAGATTCTGACGGGCATGACACATAGTCTTACATGCAACTAGTCCTTTGAGGGCAACCATAATGCTGATGTGGCCCTCAATGTGATTGAGTTTGTCCCCCTGCCCTAATTGATTGTTAAAAAATATCTCAAATAAATCTGGTGATTACCCCCCCCCCTTTTGTACTGTGGGTCTATAAATAATTATAAAACTTCTCATCTATACCTGATGTATTTGGTATGCTATTACTTTACACCACAGTTTCTGAAATAAAGAAATCTAATATCTATCAGTCAGATCAACCCAATACCTGTTAGCTATTAAAAAAACAACTGTTAATTAGTATGCCCCCAAAATAAGCTAATCTTCAACACCCTCTGTTAACAATCCATTTATGTGATGGCCTAAAAGTGAAGACACTCACTTTCCACTTCCATTGAGAGGTCAATCCTAGGCAATAGCAGATGTCTCTCTATCAGGGCACAAAGAGAAAATGTTTATTGCAAACTTGTGCAGGTTTCAGGAAGGGAATCTGAATCAGCTCCATTCTGTTGCCCTGATTCCACCCAGATAAAAGGAATTATACAATCGTAAAAAGAAAAAAATGTATTTAACTCCCAGAAACTCCACAAATGGCTTCCACTCTCTTATAAACTTGTTCAAAGCATTATCTCTAACCAATGCACTTCATTTCACCATTTCTGCCAACTCTGTCAGTTTCAAAATTCATTCTTTTACTGTTGGTTCTCCTTTTTCTTTTCAATATTTGTGATAAATAATCCTTGCTTTCAGACATATTTTTCAAAGAACAGACTTTTAAGATAATTCTATTGCTATATGTTCTTACATATATTTATTTACAAGGCACCCAGTGATCATACGTAAATGTCATAACATCATTTCAACAGTCATTGCAGCTTCCCTATTATTGTTATAATACCACCCTACTTGGAACTGCCTATATACAGCCTTAACAGCTCTTAGGTCCTTGGTTAGGACTTGAACTGTTATATTTTTATCACTCCCAGACTATAAATCGAATTGAAGATTGACCATAATAACAACAATAATAAAACTTAAAATAACATTAACAAACGGGGTCTTATTTATAATGTTTCATCGAGTTTTCTTTCTCCGTAGCATTGATGCTAAGTGTGGCACACACATTCTGTTAGACATATCAACATTAGTGTATTAGATATTCTGCATTTAATTTTGAAAACTTTGGGTAGAAATCTGTGATGCTGTGTCACAGAATTACATTTTACAATATTCTCAGTACGGATGATGTAGAGAAATTATCAAATCTTCACCATTACTGTTATGGTAGGAGAACATAATTGATCTTCTTCAGACTTAGCAACTAAGTAGGATCAAGGTTGGTTAGTGCTTGAATGAAGATTATGAGGGAATATTGGCCTATAAATAGGCTGGGGAATTTAAAAATACACCTTGGAAGACTGTCATAACAAATCACTGTGCTGTTATTAAAGTAGTGACAGTGGTAGTAATTATTTGTTATTCCTTCTTTTCAATTACGTTTGATTCTCAGAGACTGTCTGGACAAGTCCCTGCAGTTTTCATGAAAAGGGTTTGTTTAGAAGTGGGTTGCCATTTATTTCTTCCTAAGGCCGAGACCCAGCTGCCTTTGTGCCGAATCTTCCAATTTCTAACTGCAAAAACTGGCTCTAGTATCATCATCAACACTTTACAAAAATAGGAGCAAGATTGATGAATTTCTTCCTCTAACTTAGAAAATAACATTTAAATTCCACAGTTACATATTTATCTTCTTTTTTTTTCAATTTGTCACAACTTAACTTGCTCACAGACTTCAGTATAAGCATTTTAATAGCAGCAATACAGAACCAACTAGTAATTTGAAACATGGCCTTCCCTAAATACACTTTTAGTCCTCTGCCTATTAGTTTTCATGTGAAAGTTCAGTATCTTGGGATAAGTTCATGGGAAAGTTCAGTATCTTGCTGCTGTGTGTTGATAACAAAGCAGAGGTAGCTGCAACTTATGTAAGAAATGAGCAGGAAATGAGATTGCCTTTTTCTGAGTTTAAGTATATTTTTGTTTCATCATAAAAGATAAAGTACAAAACAGAAAAACAAAAGAAAAAATACATCCAGCACTAACAACAACAACAAAGAAAAAAATTGGTTGTACACAAACAGAAAAAAGGTGTCCCAAATATTATTTTTATGAGATTGCCTTTGCTCTTCTCCAGATCCTTGGCTGAAAAAATCTTCTGCCTTAGTACCATATTTTTTGGATTATAAGATGCTCTGGACTATAAGACACACATTACATATAGAAGACGAAAACGTGGGGAAAAATCTTCCTCTGCTTCCCAGCAATTTGCCTCCTTACAGCAAACAACCTTGTCAGCTTCAGCACAACCTGATTTAGCACAAGCAGCTAATAGGCGGTTGGATCGACCTCCCACAATATCGCCCATCATTCCAGGCTGTGGGGATCGTCACCGCCTATTGCCGCCGATGCTTATTGCCACCTCCATGCACCCATTATTGGCTCCGCACATACTGTTTTCGGCCTCCGCATGCTCCGTTTTCAGCCTCTGCGTGTCCCATTTTCAGTTTATTCCAGATGGCGATAGGCAGCGGTGGCGATCTCCGATATACCTGACCAGGCTGTTTGCTGTTTGCTGCAAGAAAGCAAATTGATGGGAGGCAGAGGCTAAAGGGTGGGGGCTGGCAGGTAGACGGGGCTTTGGCAAAATTCCTTCTATAAGATGCACAGACATGTCCACCCATTTTTTTGGGGGGGGGGGCGGGAGGAATGTGTCTTATAGACCAAAAAATATGGTACTTCCTTCCCAAATTAAAAGCCAGCAGATAGGAGGGTGAAGGAATGGGCCAAAGGAAGATGGGAGATCTGTTTAGGCCTAGCTCAAGAACTCTCACATGGATAAAGATGACATAAAAGGTGGTGATAAGAACTCTCAAGAGAATTGCCTGAGGTGTTCTAAAGTTATTTACTGGAAAGAAAAGAAGATAAGTTGTGCCCTGCTGGATCAGACCCAAGCACATCTAGTCTAGCAAGCTGTTCAACCCACTCCACAAGGAAGCTCTCTAACCTTCCAGCTGATGTTCTTCATAGGCAACCAAGCTGGTAGCCAGGATTACATCTCATAGCAATGATTTCTACAGTTTAATTGGAAGAGGGGTAAAAATAATCCTTTTATGGGCCCTGATTCTTCCAAGATTCAATTTCATTGGGTGAAATATCTCAGATTCTTGTCTGATTGGAGTATCAAAGAGAAAAAAGTGGAACAATCAGGATGCTGAAAAGATATAAGTAAGGGGCCCTCATTTTCTTATTGGTAGCACCAAGAGAGGCCTATGTGCTTAGTCTACATTCTCTATGCAAATTTTACTGATGTATCTTGGAATTAATATTTGTTTGCTTTAAATACAGCTCTATTTTTCATTCAGAGATTATTTCATGTGATATTTTCTTTAAGGATAGCTTTGATCAGAAGATCTCTTAGAATAAACTCATAGAATAACAGAGTTGGAAGGGACCTTGGAGGTCATCTTGATGTAATATATCAAAAATGCACAACAGCTTGATAAACCCAGCAGAGTGTGACAGTATTAAAGATAGTTGCATTCTCCTTTTACCTGTGATTGTATGCTTGCAGAATCCAGCCATTCCAATGCAGAAGCTGCAAGACATTCAAAGAGCTATGGAGTTGCTCTCAGCCTGTCAGGGCCCAACCAAGAATATTGATGAAGCGACCAAACGTAAATACCAGTTTTGGGACACACAGCCTGTACCCAAGCTTAGTAAGTTTATTGCTTAGTAAATTAATTTAAACAGCATTGGTTTCTTTTTCGTTGGAGGACGATTGTATTTTAACAATATATAGTTTATAGATCACAAAAATTCATCTCAAATGCACAGACAAAACCATTTACTACTTAAAACAGTTTTATGATTAAGGTAAAAGCAAGCATTGCCACTAAATAATTAAGTGGAAGATTGTCATTTGAAAAACTACTATGTAATTTTAACATTAAACTATTTTCAGATTTTAAGCAGTGAAAAGTTGAAGACTTTCATGCCAAATTTTCTAAGAATTTTTTTTATTCATTTCAATGTATAATACCTGTAATTCCTTCTCCGTTTATATATTAAGCCTCAATACAAATTCTTTAGAAAAATATTCCTGGTAAAACACAGAAGAATCAAAGATATTGTTTTCAAAGGACAGTAAGCATTTTAAATTTTATTTTTCAAGAATATGAAATAATTTTATTATTAAGGTTATTATAGCTGTTCTCTGGTTAAGATACCTGTATTATTGCTGTTTGCAGCTTCTGCTTTGCTGGCCCATCACTTCTTTGTGAGTTCCAAATGTTCTCTAACATAAATAGTAATTGCTTTTCATGTGGCATCTATAGTCCAGAAGGCTGTATTGCATTGCAATTGCTTCTCTTTGTAAAAGCAGAAACACTCAGGAACATATTGTGGATTAGGAAATGACACCTGTGTACTGAATTGTTCCAGTTATATACAAGTAAGATAATACAATTATAAAGTGGTTAGTTTGGAAATGTTTTCTTGAATGTCTGCAAGGTTTATATTTGTGTAACTATATTTTGAATCTTTTTTTTAAAATGTTATCATTAATAAGTTTTGCCAGGTTTGATTTCTATGCTTTGTATTGTTCTTCTGATCTCTGAGAAAATAAGATCAGTTTTGAAATGGCAAAGGAAAGAAAAAAAAGTGAATCTTCAAGTTGTATTAGCTGTTCTGAAAATATGGGCATTGATTAATTATGAGTCATTAAAATTAGTTTTTAATTGCATATTGCAAAAATATCAGATTAATTAAAGTTCGGTTTTCGAAAGCTTGGCAAGGATTTTGTTATAAATCTCTCTGGTAAATAGTTGTGCATGAGGTATGAAAGAAGAGATTTTTAAATTTGCAGACTCTGTATGTCACTGAAAATAGTTCCTTTAATTGGAAAAATTAGATGTACTTGAGTCGAAATTCAATCTAAAGTGATTCATCTTGAGAAGTTGTTTATTGCAGTCAAAGAAAAGAAGCAGCAGGTAGTAAGCAGTTCCATAATATGTATTAAAATTCTGTAGAGAATGCTATTCCCTTGACAAAATTAACAGTTATAATACAATTAAATATCTAGGAAAAATACAGTGACATTATTGATAACTTAGTTGACATAAAATGAATTTGGTCGTGGACTTCTAACAGCTTGACTTAATTTTTGTTAAGTAAACCTTCCCTCAGCTTCTCTGAAAGCAGAAAAAAATGATTTAAAAACTTTCAGGCTTACCTTCTTTTTCTCTAAGGTGAGGTTATAACTTCGCATGGTGCTATTGAACCAGATAAGGATAACATTCGCATAGAGCCGTATTCTTTACCGCACGGTTTCACTTGGGACACGTTGGATCTGAGCAACACTGAAATTGTAAGTAGAGCCCCTTGCAGTCTTTCAAATATAATCCTGGTTTTGTGTTTGGGTATTTGTGTGTGTGGTGCATTCTGCCAGTGTAATGAAATTGCCTGGGGAAATGAGCTGGAGAGACACAGAAGTCCCTTCCTGACCACATAGTTCTCCATTTTCTTTTGGACCAGCCTGTTAGGGTAACATTTGTTTTTCTGGGGAAGAAAATAGCAAACAACACCTCTTCCCCCCATCTGCCCCCCCCCCCCAATTCTTAATTCCCAGGGGAAAATGTTGAGCTACAGATTAGAAGTGAGGGCAGAAACGCTGAAATACAGAACGGAAGTGAGAACATTTAATTCTCTGGATTTTCATTAAAAGCTGATATAACTGACTTTCCCCACTCTCCGAGTAGCTAGGAATAGCTTTAATCACAGGATCTTATTGGATCTTATCAATTTACATTGAGACTGAGAGCCAGCGTGACATAATGGTGAAGGCTAGGACTGGAAGAGTGTTTCTCTTAAGATAAGTCAAGTGCTCAAATTCAGAGCAAAGTGAAAGCTGCTGGATTCAATAAATTGATGGCTTCCCTCTATTCTTTTTTTCTAGTTAAAGGAGTTGTACATGCTGCTAAATGAAAATTATGTTGAAGATGATGATAACATGTTTAGATTTGACTATTCACCGGAATTCCTTTTGTGGTGAGTCCCAGTTTCTGTATACATCAAGGGGAAACTATGGAGAAGTAATGATGTCATTGGCCTGTTCTTTTCTCAGCCCTTTTCCCTCGTCTCTCTTGCTAGACAGCAAGGAGGAATTACACAGATTTTTTTTTTCATATTTCATGCTTAAAAAGTTTACAGTACAGATAGCCCTCAACCTATGACCATTTGGGACAAAAATTTCCATTGCTAAGCAAGATAGTTGTTAGGTGAGTCATGCCCAATTTTACAACCTTTTTTGCCTTGATCGTTAAGTAGATCACTGCAGGTTATTAAGCAAATCCAGCTTCCCCCATTGTTTTGTTAGGAGCTGGCTAAAAAGGTTGCGAACAGTGATATCTTGCCCCCAGGACCGTGCCATGCTCCTCAGTTTTAATCATGTGCCTTTGGGCATGCTGCGACAGTCTGAGGATCGATTGTAAGTCACTTTTTTCAGCGTCATTATAATTTTGGATAGTTATTAAATCGATGGTTGTAAGTCAAGGACTCCTTTTATTAGGTCAAAAGGAAGACCGAATTGTTACTTTCATGCCTTTTTCACCTTTTAGGGCCCTTAGACCGCCAGGTTGGCTTCCGCAGTGGCACTGTGGTGTCAGGGTATCATCCAATAGGAAACTGGTGGGGTTCATCAGTGCCATTCCGGCACACATTCGGATTTATGATAGGTAAGCCCTAACTGATTAGCAAGGTAGCTGGAGACTCTTAGGTTTTCTTAAAACCATTTGCATGAATTTTCCTTTAACAAAAAGTTATATTTGGAAGAAATTCTAAGGGGGAACGTTGGTGAAGTATTGAAAATGTTTTAGATATCTCAAGCTAAAGTCTTTGTCCATTTACGCCAACAATTAGCAACTTTTTCTGTGATAGCATCATCATACAATATCTGTAGAGTTTATTGCCATTTGAAAACATTTTCTTCCTCCTCTTTCTCTTCATCATCACCTTTTAATCTTGGAGACCATCACTCACTATCTATCAATACCTTAAACACTGTGGTGCAACCACACTTAACATCTCTTTGCTTTTATTGCCCCACTAATAATGTTTATTGAGAATTTTAATTTAGTTTATTGTCACTGCACCTTGTACAATTAAATTAAATACCATCTTCAGTGTACATTATGACTATTAAAATAAACACAAACACATATCCTTCACATTTTATACATTGAATTGGAAATATATTACCAAGGCTTGACTGGTGGGTCAAGCAAATAGGAGGAGTTCATTTTCCACAGTCAGCCATCCTATAGTGGAATATTTTAGAGGACAAAATTTGCAGACACCTTTTTCCTCAAGTCCTGTGTTAAATGTGGTACATACATAAACATTCAGGATATTTGAGTGATGTGTACTAGCTGCATGAGTAGATTAAAATTTGGTTTGTTTGATTGCTATTTAGGATCTTGTGTGAGTCTACTATTGCAACTTGCAAATTATTTATAGACATATTTATTTTAGTGTAATGTTATTGTCATTGCACCTTGTACAATGAAATTAAATACCATCTTCAGTGTATATGAAAATATGACTATGAAAATAAACACAAACACACACCCTTCACATTCTGTACATTGAATTGAAAACCCCTGATATCTCATTAATATTGCCCTATACAGTAGAATTCAATAGGGTTAGTGCCCTGAGAGAGAAGCTGTTTTTCAGCCTATTTGTCCTTGTTTTTATTATCGTGTACCGTCTGCGAGATGATAATAGTTCAAAAAAAGGTTGCCCAGGAGGAGATGGATCTTTGAGAATATTTTGAACTTTCCTAAGGCAATGGGAGCTATAAAGCTCTTCCAAAGACAACCAATGATCTTCTGGGCAATGATGTTAACCCTCTAGAGCAGGGGTCCCCAACCACCGGTCCCCGGACTGGTACCGGTCCGTGGATCATTTTTACCGCGCCGCAAAGCTTGGGCACCGCCATCTTGTTTCGATGGCGCTTCTGGGTTTTCGGTTGCTTCCGGGTTTTCGGTTGGAAAGTGCTTCTGGGTTTTCAGTTGAAAAGCAGCGTTTGGGTGCTCGCGCCTTAGTTTCGTCGAAGAGGGGGGGAGCGGCTTCGAACAAAGAGCTGTCCCGATGGCAGTGGAGTCTCGCGTTACTCAGGTACCGATCCGTGGAAGAATAAATAATCATGAAACGGTCCCTGGTTCAAAAAAGGTTGGGGGCCACTGCTCTAGAGTGACCAGGGCACCCCAGGTCAGGTCCTCTTTTAGGGTAACACCCAGAAACTAAAACTGGCCACTTGCTCCACTTGGTCTCCATTGATAAGCAAGGGCTGGATGTCTGATCTGTTCCTTCTATAGTCCACTATAAGCTCCTTCGTCTTATTGGTGTTGAGGATCAAGTTATTGTCTTCACACCACAAAAATAACAAGTCCACCTCATCTCGGTAGGCAGACTCATCCCCCCACCCTCCGGAGATGAGTCCCACACTGTTGTATCATCTGCAAATTTAATAATAATATTACTAGCATGAGTGGGAATGCAGTCATGCACATAAAGAGTATAGAGTAATATTCACAATTAACAATGTCATTTCAGCATTTTTTCACTTCCCAGAAATATTGGAGTTCACTGTCATTATTACAGAGTTGGAATTATAATAAGATCATCATGAAAGTACTGTAGCAATGCTTAAAAGAGAGAAAGCTCTCATCTAATTGTATATATTGGAGCACATTGAGGAATGCTAATCAAATTCAGCCTTACATTTTCTCCTATCCTGCCCTGCATATGTTTACACATGTGTACACACTCCCCCACTTTCTTCTCCTTTGTCTTCTACTTATGTCCCAACATAAAATCCAAAACATGTTCTTACCCTTAACTAGTTTTTAACATATTTCTGAAATTTGGCTGCTGACCCATTAATTTGGAGAAGAAAAGGTTAATATGTTCAGAGTAGCAAATGATGTATAAGTAGCAGGAAGAGGCAGACTTGCTTTTGCAGAAATCACAGATAAATACTACATGTGCCAGAATCGGCAATCAGCAACCTGTGCTCATAATTTCTGTAAGATATTCAAGCCCTGAGCAAGTAGAATTGATACTAGTATTTAATATTTAAAAAATCTAAATTAGTGGCTATATTTGGTTCCCAGCAGAAACCCCTCAAAGCAGAAAATCAACTGTCAGAGCAACTTTTCTCCCTTGATTTACTTCTGTACAACTATCTGTGACTTTTTAAATATGGGAAATGTCAAATCAGAATCTTCTATATGTAAGGGATATGGTAGATAGTTTTACTGTATTTATTTATCTCAAATACGTAATATCCACAGTGAATCCTACAGAGGGTTGCAGAACAAAGTGTAAAATTTACTCAAGAACTTATCTTTGACCCAAAATATAAATACGCCCAGTCCAGTCAGCAGACTGGACTGAAATATTTCATTAAAAATCAGAACATGGAATATGCATATGCAATTCAAAAATTTACCACTCAGAACCCTTCCCTATAAAGGAAATAGTTTGCCTTGCTTTGCTATTTTTTTTCACAAAGTACATGCACCTCCTTGGGAAAGAGAATCCTAAAAACGAGGGTTCCTGATATGGATTCAAAATGCTTATTGTTTATACAGCTGGAAAATAGCAACATTTAGAAATACAGCCACATTCTCTTCACAGCATGTAACTCTACCTGTTAATACACACAGCATACGTTACTTGCAGAACAAGAAAATTGGCAGCAATCCACTGGAATAATCTCTTCATTTTTTATATTAAATCTTCTTTTAAAAGAAGATTAAAAATTCATACACTGAAATATTTGGTTTTGGGAAATGAATCTACTTTATTTCTCATGTACCTCACAAAAAGGTATACAGAAGCCGGAATTATGGAAATAATTTATTTTTCCTATTTCAAAATGTGTTGCTAAGCTGGGGAGTCTTCGTAGTTGAAGTCCAAAATTACTACTGTTGGGAAACACTGATGCAGACCCACCATCTAGTAGTCCATTTTATTTTCACAAAGCCTCATCAGTAACTGGTTGGAGAAAGTTGTAGAGCAAGGATAGATGCAGTCCCAGGTGGACCCCAAACTCTTTTGTGACTGCAGGAATTCTTCAAGAAGGTGCTTCTGAAATTAGCAGCGAACCAGATATAGAAACCACAACACTTTCCACCCTCTTTAAAACATAGAGAATAGCAGAGTATTAAACCTTAATTTAGCTATTGTATTTTGAAAAAAAAAACAGTAATTTCCTCCAATGTAAGGTTCTGTCCCCCTCTGTGATGATGATTGATGATGACAACAATTACATAGATGTAGTTCTTTCTTTAAAATAACACTTCTTGATTCAAAAATTTTCCTGCGTCTATAAGAAATATGTTTTTGTAAGGTTGGGAAGAGTTGGTCAGTAGGGTAGGCAGGGATGGGATTCTACCAGTTCAGACTGGTTCTATAGAACCAGTTGTTACGATTCTGCACATTTCAGAGAATCACAAATCATGCCCTTGGCTGGCTCCTCCCGTCTCTGCCCATCCCACCCCTCCCCATCCACTCAGTCCTTAACGTGCATGTGCAACATTGCGTGCATGCCCAACATCACTGACTGCATTCTACCCCCTCCAGTCACTCCTTAAGGTATTTCTTTTTTTATTCCCCTCCCAACGATCAGCTATACCTATGCTGTGCTGGGATTCCCCTCGCTTACTTACTGCTTTGCCCAGGAGGCTTCCCTGAGGCCCCCCAAAATTGGGGAGGGGGTTTGCTGCAAAAAAAGAAGAAGCCACACCCACCCAGTCACATGGCCACACTCACAGAACTGGTTGTTACAAAATTTGAATCCCATCCCTGAGGGTAGGTAATATTAGTTGGACAACATATAAGAATATTTGTACTCCTTCAAAAAGTTAAGTACTTGCTTATGTATTTTCTTTAACAGTGACAAGAAAATGGTAGAAATTAATTTTCTGTGTGTCCATAAAAAACTACGATCAAAGCGAGTAGCACCAGTCCTGATCCGTGAAATAACCAGAAGAGTAAACTTGGAAGGAATTTTTCAGGCTGTTTACACTGCAGGAGTCGTCCTTCCCAAACCTGTAGCAACTTGCAGGTAAGTAAAGACTATTATTGTTTTAAGAATTTACATAATTTTTGTTATAAATTGAATGGTCAGTTTAACTTCAGATTGGAGGGATTTTAGGGAGGTATTTCATATTACAGAACAGGCAGTGATGAAATAAGAATTAACATTTCTGCGTTTCTTGAAAATGTATGAGCTCCAGTTGTGAAACTCATGGCTATTGTAAACATCTACAGTTTTCATTTTGCATGTCAGTATCACAAGATGGAAACACAAAAAAGTGGAAGTTGAGGTATGGTTCCTTATCTCCTCGCCTCATTTCCTTTGAATATTGCAAAACTTGTGACTGATCTTTCATAGCTAGATTCTGATTACCTTACTTTCACTGTTTTAAGGACTTAATCCACCTGAAGTTTTATTTTAGCACTAGTTTTATTAGCTACCATGTGAGACCTAGCCTGAACACAAAGTCTCGTAAACAAAAACAAATCCACAGTGAATAAGTGAAAATGCTTTCCAATCAATGAATGCACAATCTGTAAATATACATTCTTTTGAGATTACTAATGTATTTCAATTTAAGCAGCCTAATAAAGTTGATTTTTCCCCTTATTTTGTTTTAGTGAAGTAATAAAAGTATCCATGTAGGCTACAATTTTTGAATCTACTCCATTTTCTAAGCAGAATGCTGTTTTTCCTTTCTGTCTCCTCTTGGCTTGACAAAAATAAACATTTCAAGCTCTCTTGAATATATAGTCATCCTCCATTTTTGACCAAAATTGGACTGAAATTTTCTGTTTCTAAGTAACACAATTGTTAAGTGAGTTTTGCCCCATTTTACAACATTTGTAAAGTTAAGTGAATGGCTGTAGTTGGTTAAGTTAGTAACACGGTCGTTAAGCGAATCTGGCTTCCCCATTGATTTGGCTTGTGAAAAGGTCGTAAAAAGTGTTTGCATGACCCCGAGATGTGGTGTTCTGACCCAGCTCCCCAAACACGACAAACCCTCTGACGTGAACTCAAAAGATTCCTTTATTAGGAATGCTGGCAGCCCCAGAAAAAAGTTTCTCTCACAGGCTAACAAGTCCCTCTGTCTGGAAGATGAGTAGTTGTCTGCCACACCTATTCATCTCCGCCCCCTGCCTTTTATCCCCAGAGCTAGGGTGGGGGTCTCGCTAGCAGCAGTGGCTCTTCCATCCCAAGGATCGGCCCATGGATTCCCACTGCTCTCCTTTCCTCTGCCTTTTGCGCAGCCACGTGTCAGGCACTGGACCCAGCTGTTCCTCCTCTTCTTCATCAACCACCTGCTGACTTGGGGGTGTTTACTCTCCACCTGAGGGCTGACAGATGGCCCAGGCTCTACCTCTGTCTCTGTCTCTCTCTGCCAGCTCCATTCCCTCTTCCCCCTCCCAGGTTGGCCTGATGCTGGGCCTGACTCCCACCCCTCCTCATCCTCTGATTTGGCTGCTGGAGGGGTACAATACATGTTTTTAAATATGAGTCCGTTGCCAAGCGTCCAAATTTTGATCCCATGATCGTGGGGATAGCTGCAATAGTCATAAGCCTGAAAAACAGTCATCAGTCCCTTTTTTCAGTGCTGTTATAACTTTGAATGGTCACTAAATGGTTATAAGTCAAGAACTATGACAGGCCACGCGATAGTGAGTTAGCAACGTGTTGGGAACATGACTTCTTATTGCCTGGAGTCAAATGCCAAGAAGATGTTGACAGTGTTATTAGAAGTAAAAAGATGCTAACTGGATGAATAGACACAGGGAACACATTTTAAAATTAAGCATCAAAGGGGTGAAATATTTCAAGACTGTGAAATCTTCCTCTTTGTACCTAGATGTTGACTCTGCAAACTTTCAGTAACAAACTAATACCATATACATATATTTTCTTCTATGTTTTTTCTAAAAAGTATTTTTCAAGGGTTAATTATTACAGGGAGACAGTATAGACCAGGGGTAGTCAACCTTTTTATACCTATCGCCCACTTTTGCATCCCTGTTAGTAGTAAAAAAATTTCTAACCGCCAACCGGTTCTACAGTAATGGTGATTTATAAAGTAGGGGACAAAACCCTTACCGCCCACCATGAAAGCTGGAACGCCCACTAGTGGGCGGTAGGGATCAGGTTGACTACCACTGGTATAGACTATGTGGAGAAGTTACTGAGTCAGTTTAACATACCAACATAACATCAATTTTTATTCAGCATGGTTTCCTTCAAATGTACAGGAATTTAAACGCTCCATTGATTATGAATTCTGAGAGTCATACTTCTGGAGTCCACAGTATTGGTAAAGACTGTATTGGTCTGAAGCAGAGTTCTTCAGCTTCAGCAAATTTTAGATATATGGACTTCAGTTCCCAGGATGCATGGCTGAGATTGTAAAATATTGATCTGATGCATGTATAGAAATCATTGAATTCTTTGCTATACTTGATTTTATTGTCTGTATTTCTTTTAAAATGTTACTCTACAGAAATGCAGAATGAGTTGTGCATTCAGGTTATTCTACTTCCACTAAGCCTTCATCTACGTTAGAGTATATATTTAGGGGCAAGTTCATTTAGCAATATTTTGTGTAGGTTGTACTTATGACTATTAAAATTGTAACATGCCAGATATTGCAACAAAGGATATAAATATTTTTGAATAGTTGCATTCAAAGTCATCTTGGCGCAAAATAGGTTTGTTTCTTGCATATTTCATTTCTTCTAGTCAAATATACGAAACACAAAAACACAAGAAAGGCACCAAGAAATATAAAAGCATATAGTAATGAGGATTTTTAGTTGATTTTGTTTTTTGTTGTTTTCTTTAAGTTGGGTGGAATGTGATAAACATTTGCAGCATATGTTTAATAGTAGGATCTTAGCAAAAATCTTCCAAAAAATTAAGAGACATTTCAGTGAACTAGCACAAATATGAAAAATATTAAAATATAGTTTTGTGCTGTTTGGCATTCCTAAATATGTGGAGAGAGAGGATAGTGGACTCTACTACCATATGAATCAAGGAATATTGCCTTTTATCACCAAAAAATCCATGAATCATACCACTGCCATTTGTCTAAAAATGATAGAGGGTCTTCTGCTTGATCAGGAGTTTGGACTAGATCTCCAAGGTCCTTTCCAACTTTATTATTCTTTTGTGTAGGTGCCCATTTCTTGCATTTCCAGGAAAGTTTGGGGGAAAAACATCTATTTCATATTCTAAATAATTTGACAATACAAATGAGATCTTTTTAATAGTTTGATTATTAGCAACTTCTTATGTCTCTTTTAACAGCTATGGTACAAATGATTAATTGTAATTACCCTTACAATTAAGGGTAAAGAATAAAACTTTACACAATGTGTAAATATACTCCCTGATGGGTCTTTTGTATATAGTTAACAAAATGTCCCATAATGATAGTCCTCAATTTCTGATCAGTTGTTTAATGATCATTTGGATTCAAGTCTTATGAAGAGTGCTTCATGACCATTGCAAAATGTTGTGCCTCTCCCACCCCTGTATTTCAGGCACTTGACAACTCACATTTACAACTGGTTGTAGCTTCTTATAATTACCTGACTGTGATTTGCAACATTTTTTATCAATTTCTCACACTTCTTTTCCAGTTTCTGGCAAAAAAACAACCCTACCCATTTAGGAGAATGCGTTTGCACTTATATGATTTGTTTAACTGGAGTGAATCATGTCCAGCTATGACATCACAACTTGCAATTGAAATTTCTGGCTCAATTGCAATTATCAGTTGAGGATTACCTGTAAATATTTTCTGTGTGTAAGGACAGAACTGAAATGCAATAATGATACTACAGCTTTACCCATTCAGTGGCCCTCCAATTGTTTTGGGATAGGAACTTCCATAATCAGCAACAACTTTGAGGGATGGTCCCAGTACATTTGGAAAACATCAAATTGGACAAAGCAGATATGCAGCTATTTACTAAGATATAAGATTCATTAATCTTGGCAGATTCTTATTTCTGAGTAGACATGGATAAATAAAATCACATTCTGAAGTAATATGTTGAACTGAGTACCCTGGAAGATCTGACTTGGAAACCTATAAGCTATAGGAAATAATGTCAGGTTTTTTTGTGGATTGGGTATATCACTAGTATTGAACATTTTATTATTATTTGATGCAATAACAACAAAGAACCTTCTTAATTTCAAATCTAAAACCTCAGTTAATTTTAAGACTAATATTGTCTCCTACATTAGCTATAGAAATGTGTAAAATTAATTTGTTGAAAAGAAGGCAAATGGATTGATGGTGCTGAGCAACAAATCTTTTACATGCGTTATGATTGCGTGTGTGTGTGTGTGTGTGTGTGTGTGTGTATACACACACATATATAAATTTTAATTTTTCTAGATACTGGCATCGATCGCTGAATCCCAGAAAATTGGTAGAAGTGAAATTTTCTCACTTGAGCAGAAATATGACATTACAGAGAACAATGAAGCTCTACAGACTTCCTGATGTAAGCAATGCGTCCACCAGAGGACCCTCATTCTCACATCAAAATAGCCTTCTGTCCCTGCCAAGGCAAGCTTTTCATTTGGGGGAGGCGGTACTGTTTAAAAAGGGAAGGGATACAAGGGTTGTGGGGCAGAACCTCCAAAGAATAGACTTTCCCGGAAAGAGGAGTTGCATATGTACATTCACCTGGCATCAGAAGACATTTTTTTTTTTGTAAAGATGTGGATGGTTGGAGAAAAAGTATTATTTTCTTGAATATATGATACCTCATGTCCTTATATGAACATACTAATTATTTTTGGGGCTCTTGAGGAAAAGGCACATTATAAGAAGGAGAAGATCTTGAGAAGAAAGCACATTATAAAAACCTCTCTGGTACCAATGGAGAGCACGTGGTACTAATGATGAATTCTAAGGCAAAAAAGCATGATATAGTTGAATTATTTTAGTTCAGAGGAATTCCTTTGATAAACACGCAGGCACATACATACACGGGGGGGGGGGGGGGCACGGAGAGACCAGTTTATAACTGATTGTGCTGTTTAATATTTAATAATTGTTGAGAAGAATGTGAGGCAGTGTGTGCAAAACACTGCTTTTCACCAGTTGAATATGACTGAGAAAAGTTTGGAATTGTAGTCCCAATGCCTCTTGATTGTTGCCTCTGGCTGAATACTTTCCTGCTGATGACAGCCTACATGGGGTATTAGCTCTTTGAATTTCTGTCTTCTTTCATTATAATAAGGCCACAAAAACTTCAGGCTTGAGACCTATGGAACGAAAAGATATCAAAGCAGTGCAAGAGTTGATTAACAATTACTTGAAGCAATTCAATCTTGCTCCTGTTATGGATGAAGAAGAAGTGGCTCACTGGTTCCTGCCTCAGGATCATATTATTGACACGTTTGTGGTAGAGGTGAGAGAGAGGCCCCTTTCCTACCGCAACCCCTTCCATATAGAAACCTTTCCTTGGCTATTTTCTTTCTCATGAGGTTTCTGTGTTTGAATGGAGGGCTAATACATATATAAACTAATTTGGAGCAAAATCTGTTTTGTAATTTCTCAAAAGGGTTCTTTCCCCACAACCAGAAACTTAAATCTTTTCCCCGCTCTTGCAAATGTTCCTGAGATTGTTTTTATTGTTGGGGGTGGACGGATGATGGAAGTACTACATTGTTGTTGGAGACTGTTGTTTCCAGCTACGCACCTTCTTTTCATTCTGATGCCCATAATCCCTTCACCCTGGGATGGGAAAGTGCATAAAGCAAATACTGTATTTGTCAATGAGGAAATAGAGCATTGGTCTGAATATCAGAGGGATACCCCTCAGGTTCAGAAAGATCTGAGTTAAAGTATTCAGCTAAAAGTGGATGGACTCGGGTTTCTTACTCTGCCTCACCATTTTACACTGAATTATCATAACCTGTAATTTTGCAGACCAACTGGGTGACTTAAGAGTTATAATACTGTAGAGTCCTTTGTTTGCATTCCTTCACGTTTTTTTTCTTTTCCAGAATTCAAATGGTGTTTTAACTGACTTTCTGAGTTTCTATACATTACCTTCAACAGTCATGCACCACCCTGCTCATAAAAGCCTCAAAGCAGCCTATTCCTTCTATAATGTTCACACGGAAACCCCTCTCTTGGATCTAATGAATGATGCACTGATTATAGCAAAGATGGTAGGTAATGCAATAGTTCCTTTATTTTCCTTTTTTTTTTTTTTACAAAAGAGTGAAGTTGGCTTAAAGCCTCACTGATTTATTTGCTTCAGCAAGAGCAGTCAAGCAAGTTGTGGGGATGTTTTCTTTGCTTATTGGAACTTTTTGTTTCAGCCCAGTCCTCAATAGGAAAGTGTGAAGAGGCACAGCCTCTGCTTATTCAAAACTCCTGTGCTTGCCTTACAGCCCCAGATGACTTTGGGGTTGCACGTGGCTTTTCCAAATCAAATCAAAGCTTTGTATCTGGGCTACTTCGGTTACAAGAAATGAAAAGTCAGTCAAATATGACTTCTACTGTAGGAATGTAACAGAGAAAAAGGTTTGTCTGTATTGTGTATGCATTGTGATCGTTACACAAGGTTACTAATGCTGTTAAGATTTTCAGGTTCTAAGTTGTAAACATACAGAATACTGCGTTGGTTTGGCTGGCATTTCTGAGCTTTCATGTGCATGCCATTGCAATCTATATGTTCCTGGATTGTGTTGATGCAAACTCATTGCTAAAAATATAAAACATTGTTGATTTATTGAGTTTGTTGTCTGGTAGATACAGTAGTATTAGTATAATGTTTGCAATGTTCTTGATTTTTGATTGCAGTTAATATTACTCATGCAGCTGCTTCAGCTTCTTTTCCTTTAAAGATTACACCTTCTACAAACAGCCCAAATGTCCAGCTAAGGAAAAGCATGTTCAATTGGCTGCTTTCATTCCTTGCTATAGGGTATGAGGGGAATAACTTTTCCTTTTTTCAAAAAGGCATCCTTGTTTCATTTTTCATAGGTTAGAAGAATCAGCATGACACTTAACAGAAATAGCAATAGCATTTAGACTTACATACCATTTCACAGTGCTTTATAGCCCTCTCTAAGTGGTTTACAGAGTCAGCATATTGCCACCAACAATCTGGGTCCTCATTTTACCCACCTTGGAAGGATGGAAGGCTGAGTCAACCTTGAGCCTGGTGAGATTCGAACTGCCAAATTGCAACCAGTCAGCAGACATAGCCTGCGGTACTTCATTCTAACCATTGCACCAACACAGCTCTTATAGCACTTAGACTTACCTATACCACCCTGTAATGCTTCACATGAGTTTACAAATGTTAGCATATTGTCCCCAACAATCTGAGACCTCGTTTTATTGACCGTGGAAGGGTGGCTGAGTCAACCTTGAGCTGGTCAGGATTAAACTCTTGGCTATGGGCAGAGTTAATCTGCAATGCTGCATTCTAACACTGTAGCCTGTGGTTAAAAAACACACACTAGAGGATTCAATACAATTCAAAGTAAAATAGGGTATAATGTCCCCTTCCAGTTGTATCTTTTTATCCATGTTAATTCATCTTATTGAAACAAGAGTTCTAGGAAGAAGGACACAGCTATGATGTGTTCAAAGCAATTTGTAGTGTAGTTAATTATAGAAGTACGTGCCTGTCATGTAGAATGCTTCATAGAGTGCAGAGTTTCCTTTCTAAATAAAATCTTTTACCAACCCTTATGAAAACCCAATTAGAAAATCAATTTGTAATATCTTTATGTTGCCAGAAAGGATTCGATGTTTTTAATGCACTAGACTTGATGGAAAACAAAACATTCCTGGAAAAACTGAAATTTGGTATTGGTGATGGCAATCTGCAGTATTATTTGTATAACTGGAGATGTCCTGGCATGGATTCTGAAAAGGTAACATATTTATACCAGAGGTTGATTGTCCTTCCTATGCTTCTGGAGGTAACAGTAGTAATCAATACTTCCAGAAGATATGGTGGTTGAAAAGGCTGACATACAGTAATGTTCAGATTCTCTACATCTTCATTTGTGTAATGATATGAAATGTGCTCCCCCAATAGCAGTGTTTGTGTGTGCCTTCCTGCCATCCCTCTATATTTGAATTCCCCACACAGTGCCTGTGAATAATAATGTATTAGTAAGATCTTCTCTTGATGGACTCTTCATCATTGGGAAACCAGCACGCTACAAAACACTGCCTACATTTTCAACAATGCTTCTGGCCCCCTAGGTACAGAATGGGACAACTTGCCATAGCCAATACACTGTGGTCAGCCAGCCATGGGACAACTCACCACAGGACAATTCAGCAAGTATGAAAGTAAATGAATGAACCTGTTGTGGTTAGCCAGCAGCCAGTGCAGACGGCAGAGGTAGCAGACAGTGAGGACGAAAGGGAACCAGTCAGGAAGTCTGGTGAGGACTTAGACAAGGGTCCTGCATCTGATGCAGGGATGGGGCCAGGATTGTCTGAGAATGAGGCGCTGCCTTCGGAGCCTTTGGAGTCTGGCTGCAGCCAGGCAGAGGACCCCAGGGAGCTTGTTCCCAGTGCACGTGTGCGCAGGGCTGCTAGAAGGAGAGAGCAGCTGAAGCAGCAGGAGCGAGTCGGGAGTAAGGCTGGGAGGTGATTGCCCCTCCCATAAGGGATAAAACCCACCCCTCAGTGATGTGCTTTTTGCAGGAAGCAAAAAAGTTCATTAGATTCTGATTCCTCATTGAAGCCCTGTAGAGTATGGTTTGTCTTTGCTGGAACTTCTGTCAGTTTATCAGCTAATTAAGTGAACATCTGTTTCTTGGCAGCCTTTTACAACCCTGAAAGGTGTGCTCTTATCTCAGACAATTGTGTTTAATGAGTTTTGGCTGGGAATGCAAATAATTCCCAGCGTTGCATTAAAAAAGGTTTGCTTTTACACACAGCGTGTTTTCTTAATTTGAATGAAGCCTGAATCAGAACAGAACCGATCTGACCCAGGCTTTGTTCAAATTAAGAAAACACACTGTGTGTAAAAGCAAACCTTTTTAATGCTGTATTGAATTGTCTCGCAGCGAGTTGGCAGTGGCAAGTTGTCCTGCCCCCCCCCCCCAGATAGAATACGCGCTCACCGTATATAGCGCCCCCAAAGTTCCCCACCTGGAGTTGGAAGTGAGAATTGGGGGGCAAATAGAAATATGATGGAGTATTTTATCATTGCCCATATTTGTAATAACCAACATTTGGCCAACTGACAAACATTTTTCTCCCTGTGGCAATACTTCCTTGTGAGAATGCTTATAGTGCTCCTAAGTGCCATACTATCCTCTAAGCATGAAGGGCTTTGGTTTTACCTGCAGTAACATCCATGTTATCATTTTTCTAGGTTGGCCTTGTATTACAATAAGGTGAAAGGACACATATTTATATTTCTTGGAAGTCATCATCTGGGCTGTTGGATGCTCTTGGATCTGTACAGTTCAAGAGGAGCCAAAGCACAATGCCTGATGAACTTAAATCAATCAGTCAAACCTTGGGGGAGGAAGAGCTACAAGAAGTGAAGATTTCTGAGCTCTTCAACTCTGAATAGGAACAAAAATGCTTATGAACCTTTTACTGTTTGTCAATGAAAAAGAAATAAAGCACATTTGTTTAATTTTAAATGCTTAGCTCGCATCTTGATGCAAAGGGTACTTTTCTTTGTTTCCCTGCATAAAAATAAAAAAAGACCTTTTTGTACAACAATGAAGTTGCAGTGGTGGAATAGAGTACAAATACTTTACTGTAATGTGACTGAACTGCTGCATTTCTATTTATTAAGTGGTAGTGTATGTTTATCAATGTAACGAAATGAAGGAGCCAATTTTGAGTATTTCTGCTTATTTTAATGATGTGGATGTCATCGTCAAGAGAAAAGCTTTGGGAATATGACTAGTAGGAAAACATGCAGACTTGTAATGTGGAGTGGAACAGACATCTGCTAGTTGGACTAGTACATGTTTTTCCATAAACGATGCTGCCAAATCAATAAAAATACAAATTTGTCATTTGATCTTCAATAGATCAGTGACTTGATTATAGTATAGCACTGCTGAATCCCCCTGAGTTATGGTATTCTTTTCATCTTACAGTTCCGGGGGGGGGGGGGGGGGGGGAAATGTAACACTGTTTTTGATGGTTCAGGAACAGCAGCCTGTACATGAAACTGAGAATATATTAGTACTATTATGATGTGTTAAGATGAATGTGTTTTAAGGCTTTTGCAGAATTGCACATATTCCTTTTGTCTACTTGTTTTTTTAAGAAAACATTTTAAACTGAAAAATATGTTTCTGTAAATAAGTAAATTTGTTGCTAGTAGTAGCAATATAATTCTGATTTGGGGAAAGAGGTGGTTTCATAGTATACATTTGTATATGTTCTTGCGAACGCATTTTTGTTGGCAGCAATATGTGCCAAAATGTCTTGGTTCATATCTTATGGTAAACCTTAATATGGTTTTGTTTGGCTTAGTGTGTCATGCGAATTCAACCTACCATAATTTCTGTAACAAATGATAGTTTAGCAAAATGCATGAACCAGGTCAGATATGTTTCCCTTTGGATTAATAGAGTTCAGGTTAGATGTGGTAAAGCACTGCATATGCACCCACATTTTCAATAACTTTATATATAGATTTATCAACTGTTTTCACACATCACAGTAAGCCATGTTTGTTGGAAAACTATTGTCAGTTTGTAGAGAACAAAATATTCTTTTAGCCAATTTTTGAGGTATTTTTGTTTCCTTTATTTATTTGCCCTTCTCCAACTGGCATTTTTACAATGCATTGGACTGCAACTTGTAGAATTTTCCCATCAATAAAAACAGCCTCATTTGAACATAGTGCCAAGCCATAACATCATTTGTTTGGTTTTTGGCTGCAAGTGATATGTCAACCCCCATAGGCTGGCTTGACATGCTGTGGGAAATGGCCATCTAAATTTTAATATTTCTTGAATAATTCTTGTTTTTCCATATTTCAAAATAATATATTGATTCCATCACATTTTTGAGAGGTGGGGAAGGGGAGTTGTAGATGTTTAATAATGACCTGAACATATTTTAAAGGTAGGTTCATCAAGTACGAGGCTGCTGGAGACATTTGATAACATTTGATAACACTTCTGATCCTAATCAAAAGTGTTAATCAACACATTTGATCCTAATTTATTAGTAGCCTTGCTAGATAGTATAACAAGCAATTTAACCAAATATTGAAACCATATTTGTACATTTCCAAATTTGGAAATTTTCAGAGAAATTCCAATAGCCTAGCTTAGAAAGAAGAGTGTGTGTTTTCACTCACCCTAAATCAAAAATTGCTATTTCATTTGCCAAATCTCAAGCTTGCACTCTTTTCCTATTGTTAGATAGTTACTGGGGGAACGGACTCTTGTACATGTTTTTCCAAAAGCTAATGTTGCATACAAACTAGGAATTATAACTTGAAATGTTACCAGAAACTCCCAATAGCACTAATTCTGGATTTTGCATTAGTTGTGAAAATTCTGTACTTAAAAATAACTTACACCTTTTTAAAGGACACAGTTCTATACTCCCTATCCTGTTTCTCCTTCCAATTTTCCTATTTCTAACACCCGTTCTATAGCAACTCAATGAAGTTTATTCCAAACAATTATTTTAATTATACAACTAGGACCAATTTTAGTGCTTGGATTTAATAACGTATTTATCTGAATATGACAATACTGTGTCCCTCCTCTTAGAAATCTGCTTCTCTGGACCAGTGCACCTCACAAGCTATTAATCCAAAAGCCTCGAGTCTCAAAATGCCTCTCTATCTTAGTGCAGGGAACTGATCTGATACGCTAAAGAAAGTAATTTGTGTTATTAAAAGCAAAATGCATCTATGCTCAGTTCTGCATGTTCTACTTGATGAAAATCAATTGTTTAAGAAAAAATATTAAACAGAAAAAGGCTGTGCTGTCAAATGTGCAGCTGTTTTCAGTTACAGTATCTTAACAGTTCTTGAATTTTATTGGCACCAATGAATGTTTGAATAAATGTATCACTTTCATACTATTTTGTTTTGAATAATTATGTTTAACCTAAAATATTTATTACTTCAAAAACCAAGGTATTCTGTTTAAAATGATACATCCATACAGGCTGGGGAAGATGAAAGTTGTAACCCCAAATACCTGGAGAGTATCAGATTAGGAAAGGCCATCCTAATTAACTGTAGAAGACAACATGAACTAAATATGATTTTTATTCCAACATCATGCACAACGGCCAGCTTTTCCATCTTGCCTACTTAAGGTTACCAACATCACTAGAAACAAATTTTATATATACATGTACACACTTGTAGAATACATACACATTTCCATGCTGTATCTACTGCAGAAGCCACATTCCAAAAAATTATAGCCAAGATAAATAAGTTATATTTATTGAATTCATAATTCTTAATAAAAAGCACCTGGAACAGGCTACTTATACAATGAACTAATTTTTCTGTTGGCATGCATGAACACATTCCTCTTGTTTCTTCACTGGCTGGAAATTGGCTAAGGGAAAGCAGAAGAAAAATATAAAATAAAAAATGAAGAAAAAAATAAGGGGAAGAAATAACAAGAACGGAGGGGAAAGGAAATTATTTTAGGCATTATATATATTGAGTAAATGGCCCCTTCTACATGGGTACACCTTTAAAAAAACATACCTTTGGAAAAAAAGGCTTTTAGTGATATCACATTATT